GTAAATGTGCAGTCATATTCGTTGTGTTCCCACTAGTGCTGTCAGCGTTAATCTCGTTAAAATGCCATTAACGCCATAACGCGTCAAATCTCCGTTAACAAGTTACCACGGAGCGCCCCGTGCGTGGGGCTGGATGGCGTCAACACGTTAACAAGCTAACTGCGCTAACGCACTAGTTCCCACAAATTGAGCATTGCATGGCACATCCGACATACTGTTTTACTTTTGTCCATGACGCGCTTACCTTCAGGGTCATGCTTCACATGAAAACCAAGATAGTACCAAACGCCAGCTCTGAATGAGGGTGGGGGAGGTTCAATTTCGGGTAGCATTAAGGCAGTTGCCATGTTGCAACGAGCTTAGCTTCTGTCTTGCTAGCTTGCGTTGCGCTCAGTGGATCTGCACTCGACAGTGCAGCCTAGGCGGAGTAGTCGAACGCAGATCCACTGAGCGCTCAACACAGACAGCATCATCAGAAGAAAAGTTGATAAAATAAATAAAAATTTTTGTATTGTTCAATACATATGCGTACCGAACCGAAAGCACTGTATCGAACGGTTCAATATCGTTACGAGTATCGTTGCACCCCTAGTAGATATGTTTCCGTATAATATATTTGTGCTCTCAAATTAATGATAATGATATACCATAGATTTTTACACAGGTCTGCAATATGTGAAGACACTGGATATTGTTTTTACTGTGGAAGTGACTGAAAGCAAACCTACATAGCTTAAACTGCTATGAGCTTTTGGACACTTGGATTATAAGGCACCTAGCATTCTTCTGTGTTGGGTCATTGAAGTTGGTGGACTTGGAGCCTCTTGGATGGAGGATGCTCTGTTCATTTTAACTTAAACACCAGTAACATACACTTATGGTCAAAAGTTTTGGGCTTCACACTCTTTTAACTACAGCTTTTGCCACAGATCAGGCACCTAGCCATACAGTCTGCCTTTACAAACATTTGTCGTTCTAAAGAGTTCAATGAATTTAAGCATGGTGATAATATAAGACACCATACCCACAACAAGTCAGTTCATGAAGTTTCTTCCCTTTTAAATATTCCACAGTCAACCGTAACTGGTATTACTGCAAAATGGGCCACAACCACAATATGGCAGACCTTACAAAAGTTACAAAGCAGGGTTAGGCAGGTACACAGTGCAAAAAAGTCACCAACGCACTGCTGCAGAGTTCCAAACCTCCTCTGACTTTAACAACAACACAAAAACTATGAATTAGGAGCTTCATAGTATGGGTTTCCGGCTGAGCAGCTCCTGTAAGTGTAAATAGGTGATTCAGTACAGAATTTGTATTAATCCAAATATATTTGACAGTTTTATTTAAACTGAACTGAAATGAGAAACTTTCAGAGACTCTGTGAGTGTGGTCTGTATCTAACCACTTGAGGTCTTTGATTAATATAAGCTAAGTGATACAAATAAATTAATACATTTTGAACTCTTGACTTTATAAAACTGACACTTGAGTAATGACTTGAACTAAAGATGACACCTTGGATTTTCATAGTCCCAGAATGATATCTTGTGACGTTGTCCCCTCAGAGCTCCTCAAACAGTTGGGGGTTTTTTGCGGTCCTATTGACCCATCTTTTATGCCACCTTTACTGAACTGCTCCTCCTCTGCACTTTGTGTCCATTCTTCCACCTCTTTTTATCATACATCACGATGACACCCAAAATGTACTTACTTTTCTCATCATTCTGGCCTCAGAAAAGTCTGTGAAACAGTGCACTTTCACAGGTATTTCTCCAGATATACCGGAGAAAATATTCTGCACGCTTAAATGAAGAAATAGGCTTTTTTTGTCATTCGGTATTTTGTTTACTGAAGTCAATGAGAGTCTCTGGAACTATGGCAAAAATGTTAGAAATTTTGGCATGGTCACTGGGAATAGTCGTGAATCATTTCACCAAGATTCAGGTCTGTGCCTTCAGCAGTCTATCCCCACCAGTGGGTAAGAGTTAAACCCAACAAGTTACCAATAATCTCAACTAATAAAAACCTTCCAGCTTTCAAATGCTGCTATGCTAAAATAGTTTCGGTTTAATCTAACATAAACTAGGTTGTCCAGCTTATCTGCTTACTTTATAACTATGCCGTAGTACATTGTTAAAGTCCAGCTGAATTAAGAACTCATGAACACGGCAGGTGCTCCACGGTTCTGGTAGAGGTGATCCATTGTCAAGACGTTCACTCTTTGTGAATCATCTTTATATGTGTGTGTTTTAACCAACGCTCTTTCCCCTCATTTTAGTTGAATTTGTGTCTCTCTGTTTGTATATACAGAGATCTTTGTCTCCACCTTTTCTGTGTGTCCCAACCTCTTTCTGTTTCACTGCTGAATTTTTTTTTCTCTGTGTATCTTCTCTGCAAGACCAAATTCATCCAGTGGAAATGTTGAGTATGAATTATAATGTAGCCTTAATCTGAAGAAAATGAACAAACAAGCCCAATTTGACTGTAGTAGAGGTTTATCGTGCTAATGGCTGATGGGAGATCGGAACCAGTAAGAAAAGATTCCTACCCATCCAGATAGTACCTTAATTCAATTGGTGAAATCAAACAGCACTCCTGAAGCGATCAGAAGTCTTGTTGGAGATGTTTATCACTCCCTTAATCAAATTATTCTGGTCTGAGGGCTGCTGTGTCTTGGACCACTTATGCAGCTGTCCTTCATATTTCTGCAGTCAGACTGAGGTTCAGATCCAGACAGGCTCAGAGTCAGAGATGATGACTAATCAAGTTTGGTTTGCCTTGAAGCGCACCTTGACATTCTAAGATGTTTTTTTTCACCAGGTAGTGTTTACTCTTTTATGTGCCTGAAATGAGTTTATATATGGGCTTGCTGGTCCTTAATAATAGTAATTTAAATATTTAGTTGTTAATCATGACGTTTTACACATTCGATGATTTTCAGAGAGTAGCACTAGTTACCATTTGAAATCTTGCACACTCATCAAGCAGTTTTTTGCGGGGCGGGGGGGGGGCTAAATTGTGAATGTAAGAAATTATCTGAATGTGTATTTTGTTATTTGGTAAGAGGAGTCTGTGAGTAGGTTGGTTGATCTAACAAGAGAAGGTACTGTCTTTTCTTTTTTCCCCTTTCTCTCTCATATGGATGTTTCCCTCAAAATCCTTCCTTTTCTGTGTCCCATTCTGTTTCTTTATCCCACCTTGACTCCTCTGTCTTGTTGTTCTCACCTCTTACTCATATCTCTCTTCGGACTACGAGCAGCAGCGGCAGCGGGTAAAGTTCTCTCACTTTTTCCTCCTCATTTTCTTCTTCTGCACTCTCGGTATCTGTTTCTCTGATCACACATCTCTTTCCTTCTCATTCATCCATTGTCACAGTTGAAATGTGTATCTGTCTATATTATTTTTCAGTTTTTTTTTAAATCCATTGTTCACCATGGAACAACTCGGACTCAAACACAACTAAACCTCATCTTAACTTCTGTCAGGTTCTCAACTGATTCACACAGATGCAAAGGAGATATTTGTGCTTTAATTGCAGGTTTTGCCACACATTTTTATTTCAATAAATATGGATATGAACATGATCAAGAAGGAAACTTTTAACCAAAGATGGATAAAAACACAGACACAGTGATTTGCATACACACACACACACACACACACACACACACACACACTCATGCAGATACACACATTAGTGGTGGTTGTGTGCAAATACACACACAGCCACCACCAGTCTGCCATCTGGTCTAACAGCTGTAAGACACAGGCAGCTGTATACACAGCTGCTGCCCCCCAAAGGATCACTTTCAGTGACCTCTTCACCCTGATCTGTACACTGGATATGTGAGGATTTGTTAAAATCAGGGCATTTGAATTACAGTCAAATTTTCTATGAAACTAAAGCCAGTTTACATAAAGTCAGCATCAGTTAACTCCTGCATTGTTTCTTTAGGCTCCTGCAGCCTTGTACACAGTGCCAGCCCAAATCCAGTATTTGACATGTCTAGATTACAGAAACCTATTCAGAAAGTTTGGACAACAACACCTTTCACCTTGGAAGCTATAGCAAGTAGCTAGGGATCTTAAGCTACTTGCTATAGCTAGAGAGATACCTATGGCGTTACCACAGAAACCCATAAAGATAGGTTGGTAACGTCTGGAAGCACAAATCCGACTGTAACACTTGAAGATAAGGAAAGTCTGATCACAACATCTGATTTAAGGAACAAATCTGCCATGTCTTCAGTCTGAACATCGCCTTTGAGGTCTATTATAATTTAACACTCTATGGCATATGTACCTGGACAGTTACACTGCCAAAGTGAAAAAAACAAAGAGAGGTTTGGCTCAGCATTTCATTGGGAAATGCTTTATAAAATCTTTGTCTTGGCCAAAAACCATGCAAGACAAGATTCCATGCTGTCTGAACAATGCTGTGAAACAAGCTAATCCTGGAGCTTATAGAAATTAACTAGATGAGTCATCAAGAGAGAGTTTGGCTGTTCATTTAAAAAGTTTTTCCCATTTTTAAGCACAACGACACTACCAAATTGCGGCATATGCTTGAAATTGAAGGCGTTTTTAAAATGTGTTAAAACTTTTAACGCATTTACGGTGACGAGCAGAAGAGCCCCTTGCTTTGCTCCTCTTACTCAACTGCCCTATGACAGAATACAATTTTGTTCTCGCTGAGACTACAACTAAACTCTCTCTCTAAATGTCTCTCTATAAAATAAATTTCTCCACCACTCAAACTGCTGCTTAAAAGAAGAAATACTGCAGCATGGAAAGCAAGGTTTCAATGCAGCATGAACAGATTTCACCATTAACTGCGCATGGGCAAACTGAGGCTTTTAGTGTTTTTGAAAGGCATTGAAATACATTGCAAAACACTACACAAGGGAGATAGCATTCAGACAGGAATGATATCAGTTGTTCCCATAGCATGTACTCTAGTTATAAATCCCCACCTAATTCTAGCATGTAGCTACGATGTTATCCTCACACTTAGGAATAAGGCTAAAGCGTAATATGATAGCAATGCTGCATGCGTTGCTATGCACTTAACCCAGACGCAGTTACTCATTGATTTTGAGTTAACTCGGACACACATGCCATCAAGAAATGGCTGCCCATCGCCATTTTGGAATCGAGAGGACTAAGGCGTTCATGTGCTGCGTATACTGAGTCTGCTGAGACTTGTAACTTTCACTCTCCTGTGTGTACATGTATGTCTTCTTTGTTTTTGGTGTGTAAACACGTGTAGGGGGAACAGCAAGGGAAAAGACATCAGCACCATCAAGTCGCTGAGGGTACTGAGAGTGCTACGACCTCTAAAGACTATTAAACGACTTCCCAAACTCAAGGTACACTTGCGCAGCAAAGAGACTCCATTACTTAATTTTCACTTTTACACAGATTATTGATGAAATCTACCTTAATGTAAGTACAACAACCAAGAAAATTATACAAATTACACCCTGATCTACCATCATCTATTATTCTTTAACCCTCCCTAATATTATGTTGTTCTCTTGCTTTGTCCTCAGGCTGTGTTTGACTGTGTGGTGAACTCTCTGAAGAATGTGCTCAACATCCTGATCGTCTATTTACTCTTCATGTTCATCTTTGCTGTGGTTGCTGTGCAGCTCTTCAAGGGGCGTTTTTTTTACTGCACTGATGAATCCAAAGAATTTGAGCGCGACTGCAGGTCAGGAAAAAAACCCAACTCCTTTCACCTTGCGCTGGGAAAATGTCCTGTTGACCTGCATAACTTTTGGTTTAATCCTTAAAGATTAAAGTGTCTCCTCTCCATCCTCTGTGTCATACCTAATGCAAACGTTTATAAGTTTTTTTCCTTTCAGTCCTTTTGCTGATTCTGTGTTTTTCAGAGGCGAGTATCTGGTGTACGAACGTGATAACGAAGTGAGGGCGCAGAAGCGGGAGTGGAAGAAGTACGATTTCCACTACGACAATGTGGCTTGGGCCCTTCTCACCCTCTTCACTGTCTCTACTGGAGAGGGGTGGCCGCAGTGAGTAGCCTATATGTGAATATAGTCATTCATAAATAGAGCAAGTGTGGATATTGACAACCTCTAACAATACTTCACTGTCACTTCAGGGTGCTGAAACACTCGGTCGATGCGACTTACGAGAATCAGGGCCCAAGTCCAGGATACCGGATGGAGATGTCCATCTTTTACGTGGTGTACTTCGTGGTCTTCCCCTTCTTCTTCGTCAACATCTTCGTAGCTCTCATTATCATCACCTTCCAGGAACAAGGCGACAAGATGATGGAAGATTACAGTTTAGAAAAGAATGAGGTGAGCAAGGATTCCGAAACTGGAGCGTTGCATGATGGAAAGGCACGATGCAAACCGAAAATGTCTTTTTCTGCTGTTTTTGACAGAGAGCCTGTATAGACTTTGCCATCAACGCCAAGCCTCTGACACGCCACATGCCACAAAACAAGCTAAGCTTTCAGTACCGTATGTGGGAGTTTGTGGTGTCACCGCCATTTGAGTATACCATCATGGCAATGATCGCGCTCAACACAATCGTGCTGATGATGAAGGTAAAGGCCTGCAAGCCCCAAACAAGGAATAAGTAATGCACAGAACAACATAAACACCAAGACAGCCACTGAGTTGCTGAACTTAATGTCTAAATTTATACCATTAGCTCTTGTTGCCTGCGCCTTAAAAAAAGATACAAGCAGCCTTTACTAGTTTGGAATGATTTAAATACTTCTGCTTTTCTGAGAGAGGTACTGCCTATGTGTGATTTTGTTTACAGTATTACGGAGCCTCCGACACCTATGAAACTGTGTTAGCCAACCTGAACATAGTGTTTACTTCCCTCTTCTCCATGGAGTGTGTACTCAAGATCATCGCCTTTGGAGCACTGGTGAGTGAGTATTTCTGGGTTTATGTGTGGCGACGATGTACTGCTCTGTAAAAATACGAGAAGCCAATAAGAACATATATACATATTTATTTTTATGCCTTTTTTTCTGTATTGAATGAATTTTACCATTTAAAATGAACACAATGCCCATATACTAAAACAAAACAAAAAAACTGACAAATTGCCTTTATGAGTTGAGCTTTACAGCCAAAAACAGCTCTTCATCTGGGCCTGACTTTCAACTAGATTACCCTGTATCCCCTAATTTCTCCACCAATCTATGTATTACACTGTCTAATGCTATTCGGATTGTTGGCAATAATCAAATGATTTGTTTTTCAGTTACAAAACCAAAAATTTAAACAAATCAGAAGCTACAAAAAATCAGTGATAAAATTATTTTACTGGCAAAAGATGCAGATGAGAGAAAAAAGTACAGACGAGATAGTTTGGCAATGAATGGGAGGTGATAAAGGACAGAGGTGGGATTATAATATATTAACTGAAAAAATGAAAGTGAGTGACATATAGGCGGCCAAAAGAGAAGCAAAGATTAGAGAGCGGTGGTGAGTAGACAGCATCAGCTCTGATTCATGGATAAACTTATGTACGTATTAGGCATGTCGTAAGCACACATAATCCCAGCCCTCAGAGATATTAGTGTCCGTGTGTGTGTATGTGCATGCGTGTATGTGTGTGTGTGTGTGTGTGTCAAAGTGGTTTATTTTAATATCCGCCTCCCTTGCTCTCCCCTGGTCCTTCCACTTGTCTAATGCACAATTTGGCTCCAGGCAATATGTGGGTAAGCAAAGAAGCAGAGGCTTCTTATTAGCATTTTGTCCCGAGTATTACATGACTCGTTGCTTTGAGTGTCCCCACTTATTGAAAGAATGCTTTAAAAAATCTCTAATCAAATATAGATTGAAATTTCTTTTTGCATATATATCTATAAATGGAGGCCTATAATACAATTTTTAAAAGTTTTTGAAACTGAAAGAAATTCAAATTGGTTTTTGCTGTACTGTATGTGTTGTTTGATGGATGTTATAGTCTTGTGATGCAGTACAATGTGTCCCTGGTGTGCTGGTATCTTTCCAGCTTCCCTTCACTGATGGTCAATTTGTCTCATCTAATTTCTTTCCTGTTCCTGTCCTACACTGACATTTGTTTTCTTCCACTTTCTTGTTCCCCTTCTGTATTTTTCTGTCCTTGTCTCATTTTCTCATTCTTTACTTCTTACTTTTTTTTCTCCTTGGTATGGCTTTTCATGTAAATATGACTTATACATCCTTTTCTTGTTATTTTCATGTGATCTGTCTGCGCTCCATCCCGTTGCGTTGCTCAATTTCTCTGTCAATCTTTATCTCTTCCCCTCCTTATTCTTTGTCTGCTTCCTTGCCACATCAATGTTCTTCTGCTTTTTACTGTGTCACTCTTGCCTCATGTCACCTCATATCCTCCTTTTTTCTCCTTTATCCTGCTCGTTGTTCTTCTCTGTCCCTGTCTCGTCTCTTCTTCTTTCTCTCGCTTTCTTGTACTTCTTTTTTCCCTCTTTCTTATGCTGATCACAGAATTATTTCAAAGATGCCTGGAACATTTTTGACTGTGTGACAGTTCTGGGCAGCATTACAGACATCCTCGTTACTGAGCTTGGGGTAAGTACCAGATTTTGAGGTGTCTGTGTACAGATGTTTATGTTTTTACACTCCTGTATTGAAAAGTCAAACTGGAAACAAACAGATGTGATATTACATTAGCATGTTTTTTTCTTAAACAGGTATGACTGAGGTATTTGTTTGGTGAACTTCAGAATGTGTTTGTGGACTTTCACATCTGCCTCACCATCTAAAAAACATTAAGTAGACAAGACAAGGAGTAAGGAGAGAGCATGAGTTAGAGGCCAGTGTTGAGTTGCTCAGTCATGCATGAGCATCTCTTGAAAGTCTTATATAATTGTCCCAGTTGGTGGGATGGGAATACAGCCAACCAGTGCCGAGCCACTGACAGGCAGGAAGGCAGGAAGCATGCTGATTACCTATAGTGAGCCATAGCCTCTCCAAGCAGCCTTTTAGTTTATTATAATATCAGGGTGGTCAGTGGGTGCATCAGTTTGCAACTGCATCTGAAGTACAGTACCTGAAACAACAACAGCATCAACAACATTATGGGTATATTAAGATCAATGATGAATGAGTGCCCTAGATTTGGTGTGCAGCATTACATTTTTGCTAAATATTGCACCAAATTGCCTGTAATGACACGCTGAACCAAGTAAACAAAATGAGTTAATTCAGTTTATTTAGGACCTGCATTCAGATTTTTCAAATGTTGTATTACCTCACTATGTCCATTAAGGAGACGAAATTGTGTGTCAGTGCATTTATTATGTGATGCATGAAACTGGGTTGAGCATCATTTGTGAAACACTTGTTCAATCCTAAAAAATCTATTTAAACGTGACATTGTTATTTTCAGATGCCGTACAGCTGTATATGTAGGCAATGCAAAGTTGTTGAGGTGGTGTGTTTAGATAGTTATTGACAATCTGAGACAAAGGTATTTAATGTAGAACCCCAAAAATAGTACATTTATATAAATCTACATACAGCAGGTAATCAGAGACTCAACCTAAAGCTAATATTTGAAAGTTGGTACTTTAAATCTTTGGTGAAAATGTTCTTTGTATATTGTTGGGACATATTTTAAGAATAGCCTCTTGTTGCGTAAGAAGTGAACTCTGAATAACAGAGGCTATTGATAGGAATACATAATCTGTATTTAGGAGATGAAGCCATTTCTTGGACAGAATTTATTTAAGAAGAAAAAACTATCCCCAATAATGTTGAAGTCAGAGTTGTAGAGTATTTGCAGCTGTAACCAAGAATCAAGAGCCAATGTAACAATTACTACTGAAAGGCTTTTCTCTCTCTCTCTCTTTTTTTTTTAACGATTTATGCAATAATGCAGTATAAGCCATAATAAGTGGAGGCTGTGTGCTCTGTATATTTCTTGCCTCAACTATGTGGAAAATCCACCTACATTGCAAACATTACATTATTATAACTACCCTCTGCTCTTCTTTGACAGTTGCATCATTACTATATATCACATGACTTTTGCAGTCAGTCCTATTGGGTGGTGTATGAGTTTTTGGTTACCTTGTATGTGGGTCACATCTTAGTACTGTAGTTTGCTTCATTAGAAAGGTTGAGAATTAGTGCATTTGGTTTGTCTTTCAAAGAGATGTCCTGTTGTCTCTCCACTCTAATGCCTCACCAGTCTTACCATTATTATAAAAATATAGATCCCAATTGATTGAGTATGGTTAGATAATTTCCTCTCCCCTGTGTTGTATTGTTTGTTTCTACCTGCCTAGATAGGAAGCTTTTCTATTTCTGAGTTTGGTTTGATTTGACTTGTTTAGCTCCTGATTATTATTATTGTTATTATTATTATTATTATTATTATTAATATTGTTATTATTATTATTATATATTAGTTTATTTATTTATTAATTGGTACAGAGCGTGAATCTTTGTTCATTTGGTCTTGATTATTTCTACTCAAGATTTTATTCACCGTTGAAATTCTACAAAATATTCCTGAGACAGATTGATTGTCATATTGACATACAGTCATGGATTTTTAGAATCCATGTATTTTCTTTTTTCATGCTGCCTTGATTCTTGGTATCAGCATTATGAATGTGTAAAATCTACAGACACTTACCTTTGTGCTAATTTCTCTTTGAATGACTGTTGATTTCTTTCTTGTTTTTATCTTTTCACATGCTTTCTTTAAATCGTCCTCAAACTTAACGACGATCTACTGTAATCTACTTCTCCAATCCCCTTCTCCCCTCAACACCTACTACTTGCTGTGATTCCATCCAATCAAAATGCACTATGATTCCTCTGTGTCCACCCATGACAACTGGCTTGGTCAATCTCTCTGGTTGTTCTTCGAACCAACCAATAATCCAAAAATTTGCTGCTATAAACCATAACTCTGCAACATCCACATGTAGATGGTTTGTAATTTTTTGGAGATCTTATTTTACCGCATGTGTTTCAGCTGCATCCCAGCCAACGTTCTGGCTCCGGAATGTGTACAGTTTGCTTGACTGCTTTGCTATGATCACTCTGAACCCTTAACTTGTACATTTGCGTTTGTTATCTCCCAGCTAGTCACTGTATATCTCCACATGCGTGTGCTGAAATATATCCTTTACTCAACACTAATATTCGGTTTGTAAAGGATTGGGTTTTAGAAACTACAGTAGATGGTAACATTTATCCACATATATGTATAAAAGTTGCTGGGAGAGTGTTTCTAGTAACAACATATTAAATCCAAAGCTTTGACAGAACAAGTGATGCATGTTGCCCATTGCATGCCACTGGCAGAAACCCTTTGTTCACAAAACTTGCACACACAGACACACACACACACATGCAGCAATGCAATATAAGCAGTAATTGAATAAAGCCTGCATGTGCTGCTACCAGTTACTTTTGAGCACTTCACATCTCAACCTGCAGTCTAATAGATTTATCCGCTAAACTATGTACAGTTTATTAGTCACGTGTTCAGTCTGATGAGAGTGGAAAATGGTAACCTAAAGAAATTCACCTATGTAGTAATGACCTTTGTTGGTCCTTGAATCACCCTCTGCTCTTATTTGACAGTGACATCACTATTGTATGTCACATGACTTTGGCAGTCGGTCCTATTGGATGGTGCATGAACTGCCGTTTTTGCTTGCCTTGCATTGGCTGCTTTGCCTTGTGTTTGGTTCACATCTGCATGCTGCGGCTTGCTTCATTTGAAACGTTGCATATTTTGCCTTCGGAGAATTAGTGCATTTGGTTGTCTTTCCAAGAAGTGTCCTGAAGTCCCTGCACTCTAACTCCTCACCAGTCCTAACACAATTACTAAAAACATATATCCCAATTGGATGAAACTGGTTAGATCTGGATGATTTCCTTTCCCCTGTGTTGTATGGTTTGATTCTACATTACTGGATATGAAAAGCTTGTTTGGAGCCTTGCTGATTTGAGTTTGGTTTGCTTTGACTTGTTTGGCTCCTGATATTTTTTATTATTATTTGTATTGAGTTTGAATCTTCTTTAATTTGGATTTGACTGTTTTTCTTCTCATTTTTTTTTTATTCGTCTGTAAGGAAGATTGCCTGCATAATTTGAAGTACGACTAACTATTTTCCTTCCCTTTCCATTCCCCGATCCCCCCTCTTGTTCCCTTTTCACGATCCTTTATTTCTGTTCCCTTTCCCTTGCTTTTCCCTTCCTCAACTCCCCCATTTCTCTGGTTATACTGTGGCTGTATTGTAGAATAATTTCATCAACCTAAGTTTCCTAAGGCTGTTCAGAGCAGCTCGTCTCATCAAGCTGCTGAGACAGGGAGAAACCATCCGAATCTTGCTCTGGACCTTCGTTCAGTCTTTCAAGGTTTGCTTCCAATTATACAGCTTACCCTGAAAAATCACATGCATTGATATGTGTAGACGCTACATGTCAGTGCAGTGTATTCACTGTATAGATCCCCCCCTTTTACAAAAGAGGTTTTGGTGCAGTGCAAAAGTATATTAGTATTAGTATATTAAAAAAAAAAGAATTTGATTTTGATTTGAACCCTATATTAAACTGTAAAACGTGTTGTTAAAAGGTATTATTCATTTTAAATTGGCTACCAGCAATTCTTTTAGAGGAAGTTGTTCCTAACATTGGTAGCATTGTCGTGCTTAAAGGTACAGTGTATGTGTATCATACACAGGAGCCAAGAGAGGACGGAGGTCTTCATATTTTTTTCACTGCATGTTTGAGGTTAAACTTTTAACTTGGATTTTAAAACAATGGTTTTCAGAAATTTCTGGAGTCCATGGAGGGATTTTCATAAGAACAATAGAGGCACTTTAATTGTGAGATATTCCACCAGGTGTCATTTAGTTAGATAGATGGATAGATGGATAGATGCAGGATCTAGCTTATTAGTTAACATTTATTGTGTCTCTTTTCAGGCACTGCCTTATGTTTGCCTCCTCATTGCCATGCTGTTTTTCATCTACGCCATCATTGGGATGCAGGTGGGTGAGAACCTCAACCTAAAATTTGCTCCAGTGCTGCTGGGATGCATTAAATATATTTTATAGTTTAACTATAATGACGAGGAGTGCAGCATACTAAATGATAGTGAAAAGAGTGATCATATTTGGAGTATAACAGCAAGAGAAGGAACATTACAAAAATGTCAAAATGGGATTTATGTCTTAGTTTCAGATTGTTACTTATAATCTTTGTTCCTGTATGTTTTTGTGGCAAAAAAGACTAAATGTTCAGCGATCAACAACCATCGTCTAGTTTTCACTTTTAACAGTATCATTGTGTTTGACAGCTGTTTGGGAATATTGCAATTGAAGAAGGTGGAGACAGTGCCATCAACCAACATAACAACTTCAGGACCTTTGTAGAGGCTCTTATGCTTCTCTTTAGGTGCTTTTATATGTAACTCTGTAAACCTATAATATACATTTCCATGCATGCCCCAGTCTCTCTTGAGGTCATTCAATTCTGGATAGGTAAAATAATCTTTTTGTATGTTTGAAGGAGTGCAACGGGTGAGGCATGGCACGAGATCATGTTGGCGTGTCTTGGGGGTAAGGAATGTGACCCCAAGTCAGGGAATGCAGATCCAGATTGTGGCAGCCAGTTTGCCTACCTCTACTTTGTGTCGTTCATCTTCTTCTGTTCATTCTTGGTGAGCCCCCGGGTTAATAATATAACATTACATGACACAACACAGTGCAATGCAATGCCACACAGTATGACAAAACATATTATTACACACACATAACATACGATGGCATAACACGACACAGCACAACATAAGGTGACTTGACAAAACTTAACATAACATCATGTGACAGATCATAACATCGTGACATAATGTATCACAATATAGTATATCATAACGTAACATGAAATACCACATTGTAACCTGACATATCGTAAAATTGCATGACATAACTTGCTATAACGTAATATGACATGATAAGACATAACAAGACTTACCATAACATAAAATTGTCCATCTTTTAGTTAAAGCTAATTAAGTAAATTAGCATTTCACGTCACAGCTATTAAACCAGTGATTTTGTGAAATCAGTGGTTGTTTGTAACTTTTTTTGTGACTTTTCTGTTTGTATGTGTGTCGCTGTGTGTGTGTGTTTGTGTGCATGCATGCGTAGATGCTGAATCTGTTTGTAGCTGTTATCATGGACAACTTTGAGTACCTGACTAGAGATTCATCCATACTAGGACCTCACCATTTGGATGAGTATGTCAGGATATGGGCGGAGTATGACCCTGCTGCCTGGTGAGTTATATAATGCCTATACTCAGGTGTAAAGAGGCACAAGCACAAGGAACAGATCTGTTTACACATGTAGTACTTGCACATATATTCATAAAAATATACCTTTAAGAGTTTGTACATACAACAACAAAGACACTATTTACAACCTGATATTTAGACACCTTTAATGCATCTTTTTCTCTATATTTTAATAAGCTTGCCCACACAGAGAGACCCAAGAGGTTAAAGCGGCTACTTCTCCTTAATTTTGAGATTTTTTTTTCTTTTTTTGGTGTGAAGACTTTTTTTTAAAGTGATACAATGAACAAGAGAATTGAACACATACAAGCATCGGCTTTTTAAAACATTAATTTACTAAAGAAATAGCTGCAAGGGGGCTGTAACGGATCTGAGTATAACCTCATCAGACATCTGGTTATCTCTCTCACACCGTACAACCCCTCCCACTCTGTCCTCGCCTTTACTGTAAACTCCCTTCACCCCATCCTAACACTCTCCCTCTTCTGGAATCGGTATACTGTCAAAAACTTAACACGGCAACGTCTACACTCCAAACTGAAGCTTCCGTGTAGTCCAAATGTATATTGTAGACATGCTAAGTTTCATGGTATCTGTATTCCAGTGCCTGTGTTTTTCCCTAATGCCTTCCTATAGAATGCACTACTATAAATAGAAGATACAAATAATATGGTGTGCAATAAATATGCTGTGCACCATTTCTATTGTACAGTTGTGTTAGGATTGCCTTTCTTGAGACTAACATGCTATTTTTTAACCTCTAAGGAAACCAAGTAATAAACAAAGAAGAAGAAGAGAATACAATAAGAAGGCACTGTTTAGGACAACTTTAAACAGAATGTGCCATTCAGTTATGTTTCTACTATTTCTGTATGTGCATGTAGAGTTTGTATAAGTGCATTCAAGTGATGTCGTAAGAGTCAGTTTTTACAGTTCTTCTATATTGTAAAGTATTTCCAGATACTGTGTTCTTGTCAATCTTGTATTCTTCCTCCCAATGTCCCCTCTTCTTTCTTGATGTGTATGCCTGTGTGTGTGCGCGCGCGTGTGTTTTTCTTGTGTGTGTGTGTGTGTGTGTGCGCGTGTTTGTTAACTCCCTGTATTCTTCTTGCAGCGGGCGCATACATTATAAGGACATGTACAGTTTATTACGAGTTATCGACCCGCCTCTTGGCTTAGGCAAGAAATGCCCCCATAGGGTGGCCTGCAAGGTTTGACTTCCATTCAAACAAAACTTCTTAAATCACACTTGCTAGCCACAGCATCCGGGAATGGAGTGAATGCCGCTTTGTTTTCTTCTTCATTTCAACTTTTACAACTTTGTTTCCACCATTATCGACTTGCATTCTGAACTGCCGAGAGAATGTGCGGGACAATGCAGACACCCAGAGAAGCATGCGAAATGCATTAAATGAAATAGGGAGGGGGAATTCACATCAAGGCGTTTTATCATGTTGGAAAAATAATCATTTTTTTTATATATATGAGCATTTTTTTTCCTTTTGCTTGCTGTGGAGACATGGCTATAATGTAGCAAGCTACGGTCGCCCACTGTAGTGTTGCATTGTTCTTGGTTGTTGGGGGGTTGGGAGAACGACAGAAACTGCATTGACACTTCTTCCCTCACTCCTTCCTCTTCCTTTTCCTCTCCTGTCTGAGCAGGAGCAGCTTGGCGCCCGATATCAGGCTCTGCCTGTTCTGTTCTTGCACAGAATTATCTTCTGATACTACAAGAGGATATTTATTCCTTAAATTCTTCCTCTTGCTCGCCTCCCTATCCACTGTCATTTACCCTGTTCTCTGATATGACAACCTGTTAGAGAGTACTGTTACTCAAAGAGAAGCCACACAGCCAAAACAGTCTCTCCAAATCCTCCCAATAACCTTGTCTCTCTGTTGTTGTTTTTTTAAAAAACATTGTTTCAGTCATCTCTCTCTCTCTCTCTCTTGCTTTCTGTCTATCTTTCTCTAAAATCTTTTCTGCTACTCTTTCACTCTCTCTCCATTGTATATCTCCTTCTTGGAATATCTGCATCTCTCTCTTTCTTGTTAACGGGGTGGTGGCATGGCTGATGATGCAGTGGCAGGATCAGTTGCAGGGAAATGTATGACATGCTGAGGCACATGAGTCCTCCACTAGGCCTCGGGAAGAGGTGTCCAGCTCGGGTGGCCTACAAGGTCAGAAAGGCCCCCATCTTCACCCAAGTCTTCTATGGGTGATGTGGGTTTTTTTGGGGGGAAGGCTATCTAGAACAATGATTTAAATTATCAACGTGGTGTAAACTTTTAGTGTCATTGTTTCTTTGGTTCTGTTCCTGTTTCTTTTTGTGGAAAGTGAGGGTGGGCTGGTCGGTGTTGTGACGTTGTGTGGTGATGTGGGACTTGTGGGTGGAGGTAGCAGGATGGTTAGGTTGACGGGTTTAGATAAGGGGTCTGTATCCACAGGAGGGGATGACAAAGAGGGACCTTCTCAGCTCATTTGCACCGTGTACAGCTCACATACACAAAAACACAAAAGGCACACACCTCACGATCAGTAGTGTCCTCGTTTAACTGTATAGATCAATGCTGTATGAAGACATTAAGACACCTATTAAGCAGATAACGTGTCACACATGTAGGCACCCTTAAATACATACACTTACACAGAAGCATGCGTGTGCAGCAGGGCTTGGAAGGTCCATTAGACTTATGTCCTCTGACTCGTTCCATCCTGTGGATGAGGTAGACGCATACACAGAAACACACAGAAATAGGTCATATCAACCTACACAGATATTTTTCTGTTACTTCTCATGGTAGAGAGAGCAGAAGGGCTTGTGTCAGTGATGTGTTTTCCTCAGAGAGCCTTTGGTTGCCATACAGAAGCAGTTCTTTTTCTGTCACCCTTCATGTAGCAGCTCCAAGCCCCCAAGCAGCCTTTTCTATCTGCAAGTCCAATCTTCTCTTTGTCCTTTGGTTCTGTCGTCAATGCAGTTCTATTCTGTTTCCAGCCCCCCCCCCCATTATCTCTGCATATTGCTCCCTTTTCTCCACACATGTACACTCCCTCACTTTCCCCCCTGCATGGCCAGTCCCCACCAACACCACCGCACCACTCCTGCACATGCCCTATTTGTCAAGTACAATACAGGTACAATGGATATCATGCAAACCGTTAGATTAAGAATATACTAAACATTAATAACACATTTACATTACATGCTACACGTGATCAGGTTAAAAAAAAATCTTTTTCAGATTACTGTTAGCCTGAGGAGGCAGCAAGCCACACAATCTGTAGGCACAGACGATCACTCCATTGCTTTCTCCACCTCCCACTTCTCTTCCAGTAGAGCTGGGGCAAATAGTGCAGAGATTTTACATGATTTAAAGCTGCATGTGATTAAACACGTTTATCCGATTACATAAAAGAAGTCAAGATTGCTGACGTTGTGATCTGATACAATGTGCTATTTGACCCAAGCTTTTTAACTCTCTACTTTTCTGTTTTTCAACTGAACATTTTATGTTTAACACCCGCCATCATCCAACTTGGGCCGTTAAACTGATTTCAAACTATGAGCCTCCTTCCTGAAATGTAAAAGTAAAAATACCAAAATGTATCCTGGTAGGTGTGCTTAGCATTCTATAATGCTTTTTATGCATGGTTGAGCATCTTTGTCTTCTCTGATAAATATTACTAGATCCAAATTTATTTAGCATAAGTCTCAATTTGCTTTCCAGACGAATCTAAATCTTAACTAGGACCTTCCATCCAGTCCACTTAATAGCTATCCTTTTAGCGTCACTGCGTTTAACCCTTGATCTATTCTCTCCTGAAGAGAGACAGGATGGCTTTTCAGGCAGGACTGCTTGCTTTATTTTTTTTCCCTTTACAGACACAGCCAACTAAGTATGGCAGTGATTCCTTTTCTTTTTTTACATTGCATTGTTTTGACTTTTATTTTTCTATTTTCAGTCACTTTTTCTCTTTATGTGCTCCAGCTCATAACCTATTGATTTTTCTTTCTCTATCATCTCTTTCCCTTAAGCTTTCCCTTTCAGTTCTTATTATATATGTTTTCTGGCAGAAGAAATATTTCGCTTCACCTCATATTTCCTACACACGCCTGGATTATGTTCACCTGAAAAATCATTACGCGTCTTAGCACCAGAACAACGCTTCCATGGTGGGCCTTTTTTTTGTTTTTGTTGTTGTTGTTTTTTTTCCTCTTTTTCCACAGAACGCTGCTCTCTCTCACCTATTAACCCTTCGAGTCTATACCCATTTGTTCACACATTTGACATCAGAAAATGTCAGCGTAGCCTCATTGTCTACTATTTTTCTTAATGCCTCCAATAACAGCCACATTAAAGCAACTCACAAACTCATTTTAATGTCGCCAACAGAGGATGCTTTCTGTGTACAGCTGCACAGCTGCTTGTCCTGTGAGGCATATTGTGCCTGCATTGCATGCTGCATGGGGGTGGAATGCGCAAGAAGGATTTGGGGGGAAAGACGGATTAAAGGAGAGGCATATTTTTGGAATGTGGGGACGGGGGAGATGCATGGTGCGCTGCATGTCTTGGATGTCGCCGGGTTGTTGTCTTTCGTCACCAAACATGCATGAACGTCACTCTGTTAGTTGATGTAAGTCGTATTATTCGTGTGTGTCTGTTACTAACCAACAAGACCTGCAAAGGATAAAACCAATAAACAAAAACCACAGTGTTCCTCTTTCTTAGACCAGTCCCTCGGTTGGCTTATTGGTTTATCATCTGGTCTCTGTTGTTTTCACTGTGAACCTCCAAAGCACTAGGGGGAGCTCTGGATAATAGTAACTGCTGCTCAGCCTGTTCCTGGACAGTTATGAAGCAAATAAGAATGTGATTCTGAAAAAGTCTCCACTAATCAATTTGTGACTTAGATGTTTAAAAATGAACAAGAATTTGGGCATTACTACGACTCACTTACCACTTCAGCACTCATAATCACATATATGCCTAATTTGACACTTAAGTCTGAGCCACTATAGGCAGACAGACAGAGTCAGGGCCTGCTGCAGATGCTATGCACAGCTCCTTCAAGAACCCACCCCCTCTTCCCTTCTCCCCACTCTCCTTCCCTGCTAAAAGCTCAGAGCCCTTCCCCCTTTTCACCTGGAGGTTCCACATACACCCCACCTTCTCCTCAATGTTCTTACTGCCTGACTGGCTTCCTCGCAGAGATTGCTCCGTATGGATCTGCCCGTGGCTGATGACAACACAGTCCACTTCAACTCCACTCTCATGGCCTTGATCCGCACAGCGCTGGACATAAAGATTGCCAAGGGTACGGACAATTTGACTTTCACTTGTCACATTTTCACATGCTTTCTTCTTCCTTCTCTCTTAACCCCAACATCCTCAAAGCAGAATTGTCTTTTCTGTGCTGAACCAGAAACTTTGAACTCTTCCTGATGCTCAATCCTCTATACAGCAACTGATGTGTTGTTATTTCTATATGTAGAACTTTTCTAGATTAATGTGAGGCTGAAGGTGAGACTGAATGTAGCCCTTCAGCTCACAAAGTTGATTGCTTGTGTTTCACTTCAGTTGTGAGCTTATCTTAATTACATGACTAATAAAAGGAACCTTTTTTTCTGTTTGTCTGTTTCCATGTTTGTATGTCTCTTCCCCCTTTTCCTTTCAATCTGAATGGCTATAAACAATGTGTGTTGTTTTGTGTGTATGGGTAAACTTTCTTAATGTGCATTTTTCTGTGTTTTGTGTTCATTTGTGTTGTCATACTTGGGCATGGATGTCCATACATCTGTGTGTGTATCTGCATGTGTGTGCATGCTTCTGTTTTTTTTAATAAATATGTCTAGGTGGTATCGACAAACACCAGATGGATGCAGAGCTAAGGAAAGAGATGATGGCAATCTGGCCCAACCTCTCCCAGAAGCATCTGGATTTGCTGGTGACACCACACAAGTGTAAGTCACCAGAGTTTGGGTAAACCACAGCAGTGCCATTTTCTGCAACCACCTAATGCTCCACCATTGTTCCTCTCCATGCCCCCCGAGGTCCGCTTCTCCAAACCAGTCTTTTTCCAGTGCTGCACCCTCTGAATCAGCTTTCACATCTGTCTCACACATCAGTACTCAGATTGTGTGAAAATGATCATGAAGAAACAGAAGCACTGAAACAAGCTGCATGGTAGACACAAAACAGCTCCGCACACCCACGCAATAGTGCAGTATCTTGAAGTGGAGATCAATAAAACTGACTGAGACTGAACTACACAAGGACAACAGCTCTTGACTGAAAAAACCCTTTCTCCATCATCACTGAATATATCGAAAATCTCCAATGGGTGGCAGTGCAATAATACAGTCTCCTGCAATTCTAATGCATTACACTCCTCCCCTAATCCCCAATTATCCAAAACAAGGAAAAGAAAAACTACATTAAATAAACTACAACACTGGTTCAAAGATTCAGTCTTTCAGGTGGTATTCGTACTTGTTAAAGGCAGTGCTCTGCTTGTTGTTTCTCTGTAGAAACTGGAGTCTGTTAACTGCTTCATACCCTCAGAAGCAACCTGAGCTTACTGGGATGAATTTTGGTTGATTGTTGCTGACAACTTCTTCTGGTTATCCATAAGAAGCTAACAATTATGGAAATGTGAAATACCCACTTGAATCATGGGGAAGTCACGCTTGCCCATCATATTGCCACAGGGGCTGGCCACTTCTATTACAGCAGCGGAGCCTCAGCTGAAAGTGTCATTGCCTGGCATGTGCTGCAGTTCTTTACCACCACCCCTTTCCAGATGGAGCCACCACAACTAGCTTCTTGCAAATGCTTTCATGTGGCAGATGGCCACATGTTCGTGATGTAGGCCATTCAGCGTATTTGCTCTTTGAACTGTAGGAGCTATGACCGTCACTTCCTAGAAGACCCATCTTTGAACCACACACAGCCCAGTTGGATGTCTATAAGAATGTGTCGAGTGCGTCATCGTGTACGTGACTTGGCCATCTGTTCTAAGACCTTTGTGAGTGAGACAAAAAAAGTAATATTCTTCTTCTTTACCCGTATCACTGCTTCCCATCTAAAGAAATGTATCTGCATTTTCATTTCCTGATGACTTTCAATAATACTCTGTCATGGTTAAATACCGTAAGTATGGATACCCAATGCTGCTTTTTCAATGCAGCCAGAGTGGGGATGGCTGGCTCTGTGCCCGGGAATTGCCAAGAGTGCTCTCTAATCATTAATGAGGGTAAACTTCCTCCTGTAATAATATTTATGAAACTTCTTTCCTTCAGAGAATGACAGAGTGGACTTTCTTATGCATTTGGGCGTATTTCCTCTCTGACTCACTCATGACGTAAATTCAGCTGACTTTTCCTCACGTCCCTCCATCAAATGAATAATGACAGTAACAGACCCTGATGATTTATTTTGGGCTAGCTGCAGTGACTTCCTGCTATGATTGTGAACTACTGCTGTGTTGCTTTTTGGCATTTTTAATGCTGCCTCACACTTAAAGGGCTTTCTTTGCATGCTACAATACAGTACTTGGACAAATTCTGCATGCGTTGGCCATAATAGGTCAGCAGCCCAAGAAGAAAAAAAGGTAGTTGTGAACTTTTGCTAGTTCAGGGTTACAAGACTGAAGCTACCATCTGTGTCCAACAGGTGGCGGTAGAGTATTCATTTGCAATCACAAAATTATGAAATGAATACTGCATTTTTTTCCCTTCTTAAACTCACAAACGCAAGAGTCACCATTCCTCAACAATCACACTTCTACCCATTTCTGTGCCTGAGATCAGAGGGTGTCCTACTATAGATAAACCTTCTACAGATGTCTTTTCACTCAGGTCAGGCAGCTTTATAGACTAGGGGCAAATCTCTCTTTTTACCATTAGTTATATTGAGGAAAAACACAGAGTCCTAAAGTATAAATTAGTAGTTGCTCTCAGTCTGTGATGCTTTGATGTGCACAGATTGTATCTCTTTTTAAACTATTTTAATCATTTTACTGGAGACCATAGTTTGTTTAATATTACACACTAAACACAAGCCATATATCAGAAGGAGATTGTTCAGTTACAGCATTGTACTTGTGACACATAAAAGTGCTTTTAAGAGTTAATTGAAGTTTTTAATCAGCCTGGCAGTGAAAAGACTTTTTTTCTCGTATGTTCATGTATGCAAGTGCTTCTTGTGCGCTTGCCTCACACCTCTCTACCATTCCTCATGCTCAAAGACCAAAGAGCGTGATCCTGCAGGGTAACTTGTCATTCTCTCTGCAGCGACCGACCTGACAGTGGGGAAAATCTATGCCGCCATGATGATCATGGAGTACTACCGGCAGAGCAAGATCAAACGTTCCCAGGCTCTTCGTGATGAGCAGGTACTGCCTGTCTCCAGTGAAGTAACACTCTACCTGCATCCGATCCTTTAAAATTAAAGGCAGACTGACGTGCTGAAACCGAGGCCACAGGTCTGTAACTTCATCTATACAAGCCCGGACTGTGACAGCATTCATTCAGATTAGGGGAGCGTGTCCATTCAATTACCTATAAAGGCAAACGCAATAACTTCACAAAGGTAATGCTCAGAAACAATGCTGCCACCTTCTGGGCAAAGTTTGTTACACTAGCACTGAAATTCTTGAGGAAAAAAAAAACGTTTTCCTCATACAGAATGTAGCAGGTTATTTTTTTCACATTAAGCTAAAATGTTGTCACAATCCCAAATGTGCCCATGCCTGAACCTGATGGGAATCTTCACAATGGCTTCTTTAGCTGAGCTTGTTTCTTTCCTATATCAACTGCTTGTAACAATACACTACCTTCTAACTCCCTGTTACCCATGCTTGTCACCTTGGAAAGGTATAGACCTCCCTCAGAAGATGATATGTTATCAATGCTGAAATTTTGTGATTCCTAACATTATTATTCAGCCGTAATATAAAGGTCTGCTTGCCCTTAATATTGTCATTGCACGTGTTATGTATTATGAGATACTTCTCATGATGTTCCCGAAACATCAGCAAGCCACTGCCTTCTTTATTATTTCTGATCCTCATTATTTTCTCCTGCCTTCAGTCCTTTGCAATGTTCCACATCCACACACAGACGCATTTCTCACACAATTGTTTTTATACATACTTTTTATCACACAGGCTGCGGTGTTACTTTACTAGAGCCTCAGATCTCAGCTACCATATTATCTAGAAATGCAAAGAGAGATCTTTGCAGTGTTTCATTATAGAAAACGCAGTTAGGTCAGACCGGATCACACAAGTTGTAGATGTGCTTTACTTGTTGGGGTTCACGTTGTGTTTATTCCTTGCAAACTAATTGGGATGCTTGCTACAGTATTTTCACATAAGTAAACTGAAAAACAAAAGAAAAATAATCAAATAATTTAACAAGTAAATAAACTTTTAGATTTAAGTGGTCATTAGTGGACATTAGGCAGTTGTTCCAACTTCTTCAATGGCTGACTGATAACAAATGTAGCAATTCTTATTTGACACGTGCCATCGTGTACTTTACCTGCCTGCTACCGGCTTCTTGCTGTGTTTCTTTGCTACAATGTAGGATAGGATCTTTTTTTTTTAATTGTCCTGCAAATATTTTTTTCTTCTCTTTTTACATACCCACCCCCACCCATTAAATTTCAGCCTGTTAATGCATCAGATGACAGCTGTTCATCAGACGAAATCCCGTAATGTGATAGTTTGCTGTATGAAGCTCTGGATGCAGTGGTTGAATCCCGCTTCCTCACTGATCGTCATTTTGCTTTGATCCCAGAATGACATCTGAGTCTGCTCAGCTCTCTCCTTCTGCTAGCTGCTGGGCATTCGTTGCTCTTGCATTCATCCCTCTTCCATTCTCCCGTTTGCCCGGTCTCGCTTCAACCGGCAGCCCCCTTTCTCTATCCCCTCTCTTCATGCTCTGCCCTTGTTCCCCCTCCCCATTTCCCTGTCAGTCTGCCTGATAGCTGGCGACGGCCATGTTGTATATCTCACACAGAATCGAACGCCATTACTATTTCAGCGCGTGGAGCCACCTACCCCCTCCCAGGATGGGGGTCCGGGACTTAACAATGCCCTGCCTCCTCCTGAGATGACAAACACCACCAACAGCCTGTGAGTTGGACACTTCTGGATTATTTTCACTTTACAGGAACAGGTTTGCTGAAGAAAGACATACCCTTGACTTGTTAATATGTGTTTGTGTGTGTGTCACAGGCCGGTGGAGGGAGGTGTCCCGGAAAGCCAGTCGTGGGTGACGGCTCGCGCTCAGGAAATGTCTCAGAAGGTTGGCAGCTGGAGCCCTGAGGGACACCCTGTGGATGGCCTGGGAAGCATGACCAACTCTCAGGTAAAAGCTCACACACACACACACACACACACACACACTGGAAATGGCACAATAAGCTGGCCAGAGACCACACAGATAATAGTTTGTGCCGTGTTACTTGATGTAGCTCCCAATTACAACTGAGGACAATTAAGTGGTAAAATCTTCACTGTTCAAGTTTGTAATTCCGTATCCAGGCTCAGCAGTGACCTGCTCATTCATAACAGCTGATTTTTATAGAGGATCAGATCAAATCAGGACAGCTGATAAGTTTTGTTTTTTTCCCAGTACATTCATTGTTAGGAATACTCTCCCATTCTTATGGTGTCGTAAGTTCAGAGCTCAGACTGCATCACCGTTACTGCACTGTTGCCTTTATCATTTTACTGAAGTTGTTACACTTATTTCCTGCAGTTCCTCTTTTTTGGATTCTTCAGATATCACTAACATTTAACATTTCTTTGATTAGCTCCATCTCTCAAACCTGTCTCTACACACAAGTCTTTTTATTTTATTTTATTTCTTTAAAATCTCACTGAATTGTTCAGTGGCTATATATCTCTGCATCTCATTTGACTCAGACTGGTTCATGTCTCTGTTTTCATGCCGTTAAACATGTCTGCTTGTAGACCTCGTGCGGGGGGAGGGTGGGGGTCTGGCAGGTGCATGCATCTGTCAGCCCTCTTATTGTAGCCACCTGTCCACAATGATCAGCAGAGCTCTAAAGGAACGACTAAACTCAGTAGCCTGAGAGACAACCTGATATTCTTTGATTATCAGTTCGGATTTAACTAAAATGCGATTTACTCCAAACAAAATCGAATTTTGCAAATTTGCTACATAAAATTTGCATGTTTCTGATTAAAAAAACCCCAACATACTGGATTTTTGATAACTGCAGTGCAGCTGACCCACCAGTGCAGTTTCAGTTTTACATAACCTCATTTAGTGCCCACAATGTACCAGGACCTGCACCTGGCTAACATTATCATCCGATCAGATTTCTTTTTTTCTTTCTTTTTTCCCCTCATGCCTCTTTTTGGCTGCACGTGTTTTTTTTTCCTCCCAGAATCCACTCCTGCCGTGACTCACAACCTCCTCCATCTGGCATTGAGTGCCACTAAACAAAAAGGGAAACAACAAATCACCTTCTGCTGGCATTTGTTGCAACTCATGTGACAGCAGCATATGCAAACACAAAATTGGATTTTGGTTGGAGTATTTTCTAAAGACCAAAACACACAATTTCCTTTTTTCTGTTTAATTTAAAAATGAAAACAACAATTAAAGACCAAATTATCCAACTGACATGATTTTCCTGTGGGACCTTCAGCTTTCTGCTCTCTTTGGATAACCTTTCCACCTTACCCCCCTCTCCTCCTCCCTATTAGTTTTCATGGCAGCCAATCACACCACCTCCTGCTCTCCTGCTCTGTTTACAGACGGTAGAGATGAGAGAGATGGGGCAGGATGGTTACTCGGATACTGAGCACTTTCCACCAATGGAAGGCCACGGCAGGGCCGCTTCCATGCCCCGCCTCCCAGGCGACAACCAAGTGAGCAGCATTCTCACCTTTCCACTGTCCGTTGTCCTCATTGTGTCCGCTCCTTATCTCTTTTTGTTTGGAACGATGACATTCACAAAGGTCTGGCTCGTTGCTTATGGATTTCTTGCTGCGGCCTCTTGAATCCAGAGTGGAGAATGTTTGGGACGAGGTTGCGAACGACAAACTGGTTTACAATCACTGGTTACATTTTGCGCTGGGTGAAGTGGTTGCAACCATGATGTCCGCTAGCATATCATGACAGTATTTCAGGGTAAAACATGGAAATGTTTTGCTGACATGTTGACCTCCAGGCTTGGGTTCACAAGGACCACAGCAAGGCAAAGTCAGACCTTTCATTCCTTTCTTTTTCTTTTCTCCCGACTGTTTTGCTTTTCTCTTCCCCTTATCTCTCTTTCACCTGCATGGAGGTGTTTTTGGAAATGCGGTTGCCTTGTTTTCCATCCCACACCCTCATCCATGTTAAACTGTTTCATATCTCGGTGAGTGCTCTGGTTGTCATTCACACACGACACATTTATAAACCACACACAGACATGCGCAGTTCTCTACCCCCACACCCACCCCACATTATTTCTTCTTCTTTTGTCAGGACCGTGATTTATTTATCCTTTTTTTTCTCGTTTTGCTAAACTGTCTCTTCCTTCCTAGCAGAGGTTTTCCAAGTGCCGAACCGGGCTCCGCCCCCCCTTTATTAGCAGGACTGGTTCTAGCATGATGTTGAGTGTTACAGATGTGTGCGTGTTTGTGTGTTCTGGAGCTTGTTTTTATATGTGTTTTTCGCTGATTATCATCATTGATGTTGTGACCGTGTTTCTGTTGATTGAGCACTTTCATGGTGATCTTGTCTGTATAACACTCTCGTGGCACCAATCACCCCCAGTATTTGTGGTAAGTGTATCTCTTCCACCCTCGCTGCTGCTTCGGTGTCTAATCGGACCTTCTTTCTCTGTCCCTCCTTTTCTCTTTCTCTCTCTTTCATCTCTCCACTCTGGCGCCCCATTCCTCTTTTTGGGTTGAACCTCAATCTAACGCTTTTAAACTTGTACTCCTCTTCACCCTTCCTCTTTGGTCACTGCATATCACACCATCCCTGTCTCCCTTCCTTCTCTCCCTCTCCACATCACTTCTCCTCCTTGTTTTGTGTTTGCGCCACATCCATACATTTGGTGTATTTGTGGCATTGTTTGTGTGTGTGTGTGTGTCTTCTCTGTGCTCATACAGCAGCGGAGGAAAGGGAAGCAACGTGGCAGTAACCTCAGTGTATGTACCCTGTCTTCTCTGTCTTCTCCCTCCTCCCCTTTCTCTTTATTCAAGTCCCCTTCTCAAACATGTCTTTGTGTTGTGTGTTTTTTTTCTGTGTGTGTGTTTTTAAGCAGGGGTTTTCTTAAGATGTATTAAAGCAACCATTTTTAGCATGAACTCATATGCAAGTCCAGTTTCCAAACCAATCCTACTGACCCTTAACTACTTCACTCGTGCACTTAATGCAGAAAGTTTGGATTCGGGCTGAACTCTGCTTGTCCCTTCTCATCATTTACGGTCATATGACTGTCTCCGGGTCTTCCGTATCTCTGTCTCTCTTTACTCAGCTGCTGCTCCTGGTGCTTCGTTGTCTCATGTCCTCATGCCTGTGTGCTTATCTATGTGTTGTTGCTGTTAACAGTCTCCATTATGAGTCTCCATTCACGACTGCCTACCTGCATGCTAGAACTTAGATCTTTTTGTTTGAGTGGGTGTATGCTTGCGTGAATGTATGTGGTGTGTGGTTAGAGTGTCAGAAACAAGGAGGGATATGGACATACGTGCATATGAATGGATATGTTTATAGGATTCTCAGTGCTACTTCTGTGAGGCCAGTTAATCTGCCAACCCATCATCTGTAATTTAATCTGTGACAATTCACAATGTCTACAAAACTTGCTCAGCTCAGCTGCAAAAAGGATTTAGCACTGAAGTAACCTGATATGATTTTCATGCCCAGGTCAGCAACTTGTGGCACCATAGGCGCTGTCCTGCTGTCCTGTCCTGCCTCAGGTCACGAGGCCTCGGCACTGCAGAGGAATGTCGTTAGCAGACTCAGGACATCCCCTATGTACATGCATGGTTGCAGGGAAGCACGCTGAGACAGAGCAGAAACACAAGAGTTTTGTGCAGCCTGGAATACGCCGTGTTCGAGGGCATTAATGGGTGGTGAAAATGGAGAAGTGCTGAATTGACCCTTCTGTCCCCTTTTTTTCTTTAACATTACAAGTTACAGAAGCATGGAAGGCATGGTCGCTTGCCATCATCTCTTTCCCTGTGCTTCCTTTTGAATTTTTTTTTTTAATCTTCTGTATCAGGGGTCGGCATTTGAGCCCTGCACCAGGTTTGAATGTTAATACAACACTGCACTGGCCTTGCTTTAGCCATGCTTAGCTACTGAAATACATGGATGGATTGTTTAATTGGATTGTTTAACTAAAATTGGCTAATGGGTTTTTTTGCCGACCCCTGCCTTATAAATTGAATGCAATGTCTCTGTTTTTGAAGTAGCATGATTGGGGGTCTATGATTTGGTATAGGTTAAAGGAAGAAGATGCGTTGAGGGCTTTTGTAGAAACAGACCCCAGTTAAACCCATATATACACCCCTATACATATCTGTTATCCCATTGTATAAATGAAACACCAACCTGACATTCAAAGGAAACACCTCTCCTTGCATTTCTCTCTCTCCCTCCATCCCTTGGTGGTTTCTTTCTCTTCCTCTCTTAGACCATCAATGACAGCAGTCCAATGAAACGCTCCGCCTCCTCCCTGGGCCACAGCAGGTCTGGGCGTGGTCACAGAGACAAAGGAGGGGCAGACGACTACAACATGGAGCATGCAATCCCAGAAGAGGGAAGAAGTTCCAGACACGGACACCGGCGAAAAGACCGGAGCCATCGGGCATCTGAGAGGTCCCTCTGTCGCTACACTGAGGCTGACACAGGTGGGTGAAACCACAAACACACACACATTTTTTGCATAATTGATCATTTGACAGGTACTGTAGAAGATATTTCCACTATCTAGAACTCATTTTCTCCAACCGTCTCACCTTCTGCAATAAATGAATCCAATTTTTGTACAACTGAACAAAAAGCACATAAAAGTCTTTTTGTTGTTGTTGTTGTTGTTTAGCCATTATTTCCAAGGGCTGCTAGAATGTGTCGCTGGAGTGCAATAATAACGAACCCCTTTAAACACTCTGTCTTCAGGCCTGGGCACAGACCTAAGCACAACCACTCAGTCTGGCGACCTCACGTCAAAAGACAAGGATCGAGACAGGGATCGCGGCCGTTCCAAAGACCGTAAGCACCACCACCATCATCACCATCACCACGGCTCTGTGGACAAGGAGCGCTATGTAGCAGAACGAGGGGGAGAGTACGTCCACAGGCACTCTCGCGACCATGACCGGGAGCGAGAAAGGGACCGGCGCTGGTCGCGATCTCCCAGCGAGGGTCGCGATTGCGTGACACACAGACAGGTGGGCTCCTGGGGTATTGAGTGTACATAATGTCTAGGCTGGAAAAACACACCTGTTGTTTTTTGATGAGAAAAAATAATTAAATAAATATTGGTCAAACACATTTCAAATGGTCTAATATTGGGCCTCTAATTTGACGGTAGTTAACTGGTGGACTATCAGCTAGAAAAACCCCAATAACCTTTTCTGGCTGTAACCAAACAGTAGTCTACATAAGGTGTAACTTTTTGATGTAGTTGTGTTACAAATGTTCCTCTGATTGGAAACTGTATAAAAAGGATAGATGTAGGCTTTTGAAGGCTTGTTTCAGTTTCTTGAATCAGCAGGACCACCATATGGTAGTGGCTTCACAATTACAGGCTAGCCATACTTTAAAAATGCACAAGATATAAAATATAAACATAATCATATATTAAAATTAAAAATTATTCTGTAATAAATAAGAATTAAATATAACAATTAAGCCATAAACTCATTAGCAAAAAGTATTAAGTAATATGTGACAAACAGAATCATTTTCTTGTTGAAAGCCAGAAGGGTTGCCCCCTGCTGGCCAATAGAGAGAATGCAAGTTTAATGCACCAGTCTCAGAACCTAGGTCCAACTGTTTAATAAGGTCTTCTGCCCTCAGATTAGAGGCCATTGTTTAATTGTTGGCATTATGTTAATGACAGCAGATAGCATGTGTATCTTTATGTATATTTGTATATGCATTTATGTTTCACTATATTCACATAAACATGCATTATTGTTGGTATAATAATGCAGAAATGAGTAAAAAGTGTTTGCTACCAAACCACCAACAACCAAACAAATATGCATAAAGAATGTATATTTGAGTACCTTACTGCTGTTCCCAGTTGCCCTGTCTAAATGTTCTGTCATGCCCTCCCCACTATGTTTCCTTATGACATTATTTTCCAAGCATATTGCCCACTATACTTTAGACCTAAATTTTCTTTGCTCATGAATTTTTGGTAATGCATATTATTTAGCTAAACACGCTGATTTTGTAATATATTTTTATAATTACTGCAGGAACAACAGCTTTCTTTAAAGGGGAGGAAGTGGATTTTCTTATTTGAATTTGTGTTATACATACATGCTACACAGCTTGCTCAAAATAATGCAAAACCAGACACATTTTATGTATGTTTAGTTACCATATTTACCCTGTACTGCATTTGTTATCCTGGAAATCAACCCTTTATCCTTCTTTTCTCCTGTCGTCTTTTGTTTTCTTTCCTCTGCGTAACATGTTGCTTTTTTATGTATGGTCCTGTTTGAAATCTCATCTTTTTTATCCACATCATCTGCTCTGCTCCTTTTTAATGCCTTTCATTTCTGCCACTCTTTTATGGATGGTGCTTTTATTCTTATTGTTGCTGTGGATCTTGCTCTGATCCTTTTCTTGCTTTTCTCTCTGGACTCTCTGTCTTGCGTTCTTTTCCTTCTGTCTCTGTTGGCTTCACGCTAAATCTTTACCATCCTCTACTTTATTCTACATGTTTTGTCGTTGAATTTGTGGTTCGTTCTTTTTATTTGCTTTATTTCACTTTTTGTGTAGGGCAGTAGTTCAGTCAGCGGAAGCCCTGTCCCCTCAACCTCGGGGACCAGTACACCACGGCGGGGCCGTCGGCAGTTGCCTCAGACCCCGGCAACACCCCGGCCCCATGTTACTTACTCCCCTGTAGTCCGTAAGGCTATGCCCACACCTCCTGGGGTGGCACAAGGCAGACCCTCAGCCCCAGCTCCTGCCCCTCGCCGCTTTTCTCCAGAGCCTTCCCAAGGCCAGGGTCCTCCCCCTGCTGGCCTTCAGCTGGGCCACCATGGCACACCACGTCATCAGCCCCCACTGCGCTGGGGAGACACAGGTGGAGGAGGGGGCTCCATAGAAGGAGATGGATGTTTCTACAACCAGGACTACCAGGACTACGAGCCCCATCATGAACCACCTGCCTATGAGCCAAACCCCATGCAGGGGGGCAACCCGCACCCTCATGCCAACCACCCACTGCCACCTCCCTCACAACCACAGCAGCATAACCCCCATCCCCTACCTCCCCCACAGCCACACCCAGTCAACAACCCCCATCCTCAGCCCAGCCGAACCTCGCCTAGAACTGTTCATCACGCGCCTCCGCCAACAACGGCTCTGACAGGGCCTGTGCAGGGCCAAGTTCAGTCTGCCGCCCAGCGCCGGCTACCCAACGGCTACCGTTCTTCATCACCTTCCACACATGTCCACGGACCCCCACACACTGGGCCCCACAAGGTCCCTCCTCCGGCTGGGCATCCAAGGGGTCCTCGCAAAGGCTTGCATGAACCCTACAGTGAAACGGAGGATGACGATTGGTGCTAGCCTCTGGGGAAGGGGGTGGGACTTAACAAGGAAAAAAAATTGAAATACCGAAAGAAGATGAGCCAGAGCACTGACTGCCAAGGGAAAAAAATATAAACTTTTCTTTCTTGTCTGTTCGATTTGTTTTTCCCTCTCCTCCACTGCTGTCTAAGTGACAGTGAGCTACATGAAACTACCGGTGTCATGGGAAGGAACAAGAATGCAGAGACAGAATCTGGAAATCCAAAAGCGATACGAGGAGGTAACGAAACGCCTCTGCGTTCCGCTCGCGTCTTGTCGATCATTTCTTTTGATGCCAAATGAGACCAAACGGGAGGAGCGTCAGACACTAGTCTTTGTGTCTTAAATTATGCCTCTGGCCATGAGCTATAGCCACTTACAAGATGTCAAGAGTTGCGACTCGACAAAAGACACTTTACAGTCAGAGACAAAAATGAGCGACCTCTTTTTTTGTTGTTGTTGTCGTTTGTTTGTTTTCTTTGCTTCTCTGAGCTAACTTCTGTTAAGTTAGCTGCGAAAAGATTTCAAACCAACCCTCCCAGCCACCAGTTGAATATTGATGAGTTTTATCATCTGTGTTTTTAAATACAAAATAAACCTGACACGGAGCCCTCCACCTGTAAGAGGTGAGGGAGGCTAAGTGGGTGGGAGAGTTGGGGAGTGTTGCACGGGGGTCGACGAGTCCCTCCGTGGACATCTGGAGGAGAGGATGGGTGCATCTGGGGATGTTTACCCCAGTTACTGGAGAGATTGCACTCCTCCCAGAAACAATTTAACCAACCTCAACCTATGACCTATGAGAGGAAAAAAAATAGTGGAGGATGGGTTTCAGAAACAGAGAAACAAACTGTTTTCTGCAGTATTTCTTCTACTCCTGGAGCTGCTTCTTCTTCCTCCTTCTCTTCTACTTCTTCAAAACATTGAAGCTTGAATCTTCTGTTGCACCCCCACACAGCTTCGTTTTTTGTAGACTTGCAGAGTTGTACACTCTATGGAATCCTGCATGAATGATACAAAAGAATACTAATAATAGCAACACTGAGAATCTACTGTCTGCAGAGGGAAAATGTTCTTCAGTCCTGTTTTTTTGTTATGGTCTGCAGGGTTTCTCTCTCTTTTTTTATTTATGATTAAAAGTGCTTTCTGTTTTTCTCTCTCTCTCCTCTGAATGACATTCCTCTCTCTGTACCTTCACATACGCTAAAAACACCAGTGGCCCGAAAGTTACATGGAGATTGGATAGTTGCTGTATGTATATCTAGAGGGAACAAAATGATAACTCTTCTGCTTGCTCGTCTACTGTCTATTCCGTGCCAAATGCCTGCCATTGATACAGCTGGAATTGTACTTATTTTTGTGGAAATTACCTTTTTTTGTAATTAAGGCTAAAAAAAAATGGTTTAATGGGATGCAGGGTATAAACATGGATACGGTGAATTATGTCTGACAAATCAGTAACATCTCAAAAGTCTTCCAGGGTGTGGGGTTAACACAGAGGCAGCAGAAAGAGACCAATAGAAATGTGCAGAAAGGAGAGAAACTCTTCATCTTTGTTTTCTTTGTTGCTGAACTTATTAAGGGATAAACTTATACCATCGTTTGTAAAGATCATGATGAGCGTGAGAATGAGGCGAGTTCTCCATATTTGGTCTTATATTTTCGTCTGTCTGCTTGTTTTTATTTTGATCTTTGAAGATTTGAAAATAATCCTTTTTCCAACCCTTGGGTGGCGCTGGAACACACCACTACACTGTGGGAGAATGAGTTATCAAGACGACAGAGCTGTCCTCTTACTCTGAGTCTTCTTCAAAGTTAATAACTATTTGAAATTTGTACATCAAAATGCATTGAATTGCAGGTTTTACAATCCACTTGCCATCACCTTTGACCTACAGATGGCGCTGTGTGACAAATAGTGTCCCGGTCTATTCACTATACTTGTACAGTGAGTGCACCAAAAATGCAGTTTAGCTCATTCTCTCGCTAGTAGACCGCCTTATCTGTGTAAAAAATCAGGTGTGTGAGTCGTATTGTAGCAGACGGGCTGGAGAAAGGATGCCTGGGCCTCGCTGTAGTCCTAAAAATTACCTGCGTTCTGTGCGTATCACTCTTGTATAAGTTTCAGTTCTCTCTGTGTGCCTCAAACTAACACTTTTCACTAACGCACACCACCGTCAGACCCAACATTACTGTTATTTTTTACTTTAAGTTCCTTTTTTTTCTCATTCTTTTACTTGACCCACATCTTACCTGGAGGCCTATCACATGTTGACCAGAGAATGCACTGAAAAAAAAATAGAAAACACTGCCTATTAGTGTCTTTCCAACCTCAGTGGAATGTCACAAAAAATATTTCTCACATCACTACATGTAAAATTAGAAAGCACACTAAGGTATGTAGCTCCTGGTTGTGGTGTGTGTCAGTGGGTTTTTGCGTGTATGTATGCACACGGGTGGGTGTGTTTCAAATAAAATTATGTTTTGTTTTTCTGAATGCTTTTTTAAAAATTCTCCAGAACTCTTCTGAAATCTTAAGACATTCAAGTCAAATCATTGTAACGACCTTCAGCTCTGTGGTTGTGCGTGTGCGTGTGTGTGTGTGTGATGTCAGTAAAGCCCCTCCCACCTGCCCCCACCACTGAATGGAACGTGCAAAGCCCCAAAATGTTCACCTTCCATCTTTGTGTATATGCTGCAGTAAAATCCACTAACACGCTGATTAACCACACAAAGTCTTCAAAAAGCAATGTAAAGTCGCTACTGGGGGGAAAAAAAATACATAAATTTAAAAAAAAAAAAAGATTTTTTTTTCTTTTTGTTCGTTTTTCAAGTACAAAAGATTTTAAAAAAAGGAAAAAATATCTAGTTCCAGAAATGCATGTGCTATGTGCATGCCACACCGTGGGTTAAAAAGTCATCTTCAGGACATAAAAGAAAAAGCAGATTAATTAATTCAGAGGAATTTAAAAAAAAAGAAAAGAAAAAAGTGATATATAAATAGATAGATGTTTTTAAAAAGCAATGTTTCCTTTTTTTCCTTCTATTTTTGAAAACAAAAAATGTTTTAAAAACTTTAAAAAAAAAAAATCTAAAGAGTAAAAACACAAAAAAGAGACTTTGGTGAGAGTCAAAGTCCTGTTTGTTTTTCTTCTGTTACATGGGGTTGAGGCACAGCACAACCATGTTCAGGACACCATGAAAAAAAAAAAGAACTGTTTTTAATTTAACAGAAAAAATAAAAAATATAAAGAAAGAAAAGAAAGTACAGTTCAGACGATGGTGTGTTCTTCCTTATACTTTTGTGTTGGGGGAGGGTCAAGGGATGGAGGAGCTCGCCAAAACTGTTGATGTACTTGTTAAAAACTGGCTGATGGTCCTTTGATCTCTCACTCACTCTCTATTTTCTCTCTCTCGCTCTCTCTCCCTCTCTCTCTCTCTTTCTCTACCCTGTCTCTCTCTCACGCTCTTACCTGTCACACTCTCAGCCAGTCTCACCGCTATTTCTACCAGTGCATTTTGTAATTCCAAACAGAAACTCTTCCTAAAGAATAAAATCCAGAGAGAATGCATACTGCTTTGTGTCATTTCTTTTTTGTGTGTCAAGTCTTTTTCAGCTTTGAATTTGCATGTGTGTGTGTGTGTGGGCCCTAGGAAAGTGCATAGGTTTCTCAGTCCATTTCCTCTACCTGTCAGTCAGTCAAGAAAAATAAACGCTTGTAAGCATTACTCACAGAAAGTGAAAGCCACAAATGAACTTTAAAACTGTACTCATATTTCTTGGCCACAATACCTTTGTGTAGTATTATCACAAAAAAACAGCTAACAATTGGTTTATTTTTATTACAAAAAAGATTTGCAGTCATGGTGAAAGTAAGCAAATTTTTTATATATATATATATATATATATACTTTTACTCTGCTTTTTATAATCACTTTAAAGAAATACACTCAATTAGGTACAACACGTCAACCACGGATGATGGAAATATATCATCAGCCAGTCACATAGCAGTAACTCGGTGTAGGTGTGCTGACGTGGTCAAGAAAACCTGCTGAAGTTCAGATTGAAAATCCGAATGGGGAAGAAAGGTGATTTAAGCGATCCTAAATCACCTGGTCCACAGTGATTTTATCACATAACCATCTTTAGGGTTTACAGGGAACATTATGGAGAAGAGAAAGTATCTGGTGAGCGACAGTTTTCTGAGTAAAAATGTTGATGTGAGAGGTCAGAGGAGAATAGCCAGACAGATTTGGGCTGATAGAAAAGTGAGGGTAACTCAAATTAGTATTCATTACAACCAAGCTATGCAAAAGAGTATCTCTAAATGCACAACATGTTGAACCTTGATGCAGATGGGCTACAGCAGCAGAAGATCACACCAGGTGCTACACCTGTCAGCTAAGAACAGCTAACTGAAGCTGCAATTCGCACCACTCACAAACACTGGATAATGAGAGATGAGAGAAAAAACTGCTTGCTCTGATGTGTCTCGATTTCTGCTGCAACATTAAGATTTAGGGCTGAGAATTTGGCCTAATCACCATGAAAACATGGATCCACCCTGCTTCGTATTAACAGTTCAGGCTGGTGGTCATGGTGTAATGGTGTGGGGGATATTCCCTTGGCACACTTTGAGGCCTATCCATTTTCTCCTGGCTGCTTACAGCAGAGTAATGCACCATATCACAAAACTCAAATAATCACTTGGCCAGATCTCATCCCAATAGAGCACTTTTGGGTTGTGGTGCAACAAGATATTCACATCATGGATGTGCAGCTGACAAATCTGCAGCAACTGCATGATGTAATCACGTTGAAAAGGACCAAGATCTGTGAACAGCTCTTAAGGCAAAACCACTTTGTTAGTAATGTGTACCTAATAAAATAGCAGGTGAATGTATTACCAAACGAAGAACTTTATGAAGGATTAGCAAAGAAAATGTGGGATAGTCACAGAATTGAAGGAAGTACAGGAATACTGGTATAAAAGTCTCAGTCCACTGTTATAAATGTCTATGACTAAACAATCAGAAACAGACTTCATTAGGGTTGCCTGAGGGCCAGACATAATCTGGTGGACCCTGTACTCACTGCCCAGAACAAGGAGCCCAATTGGCATTTGTCAAAACTGGCAACCCAGCACACCATCCATCATCTCATTAGGAGCATAGCCTACATTGTCAGGCATGCATAAAAGCAGGCAGGAGTTACACAAACTGCTAACCCTAACCCATTTTGAGTTGCTGCAATGACATTTTGGCACAGTAGACTAGTCTGCAGCATTTTTCACTCTAATTTTCAGGGTGTCTTTTAATTCAGGATTCTGTAGGTTGGTAATTTTCATTTCCATTAATCACTTTGGTATCCTTTCATTCCTAAAACTTTACCCAGTCCATATCAGTATAGCTATCCAACAAAAAATTTTCCCATTGGGATCTGATGTGTTTTCAAAGTGTTCCTTCAAAGTTTTTTAACAGTGTGTAACAAAAAGTGCCAAGAGAGGATATTTGGTACTACATGAGGAATTGAAGTTTGTGAGGCTGGTGCAGTACATGTATGAGGACACCGAAACAGTGGTGATGTGTGCTGTAGGAATGACAGATGGGTTCAAGGTGGGGGTGGGATTACATCAGGGCTTGGCTGTGAGCCCCTTCTTGTTTGCAGTAGTGATGGGACACATTGATAGATGAGGTCAGGCAGGAGTCTCTATGGACTACAACGTTGGCAGACTAGATTCTAATCAGTAGTGAGAGTAGGGAACAGGTGGAGGAGAGCCTGGACAGGTGGTGGAGGCATGCTTTGGAAAGAAAAGGAAAAAAAGTCAGTAGAGGTAAGATAGAGCACATGTGTGTAAATGAGAACGAGACAGGTGTATATGAAAGGAGGAGAGGTAGTGAAGGCGGATAAGTTTTAATACCTGGGGTCAATCACCCGAAGCACAGACAGTACACAAGAGAGGTGAAGAAGAGACTGCAGGCAGGGTGGAGTAGCTGGAGATGACTGTCAGGGCTGATGTATGACAGAAGGATAGCAGCAAAATAAAAAGGTAGGTTTGCGATGGTTGTGAGTTTGGAGACGGTAGTACTGTACTGTACTGTAGTACTGGGCGACCGTGGCTCAGGGGGGTTGGGGAGCGTGTCTGTAACCGGAAGGTCACCGGTTCGATCCCTGGGCTCTCTGTCCTGGTCATTGTGTCCTTGGGCAAGGCACTTTACCCTACCGCCTACTGGTGTTGCCCAGAGGGCGATATGGCAGCCTCGCTTCTGTCAGTCTGCTCCAGGGCAGCTGTGGCTACAACTGTAGCTTTTCTCCACCAGTGCGTGAATGTGAGAGTGAATGAATAGTGGAATTGTACAGCGCTTTGGGTGCCCAGAAAAGTGCTATATAAATGCAATCCATTTACTGACAAAAAGAGAGGACCCTGATCTGGTGGATGATGCTAAAAATTTTCACCTTCACAATTTCATTTTGAACCATTTTGAGTTTTCTGAAGTAGTCAGAGAACAGAGACCCTGCTATCTTTTTGGAGATTACTTTGGAAAAGTTGAGAAGCGCAGTAAAATGGCCAGCTCCTTTTAAAGTGCTCTCATGATTGCATGAAAATTGGATCAGGGTTGCTCACATACTAATGGATAAAATCCAGTTACTTCCTTTTTTGTTGTTTGTTTTCATTCTTTTTTTTTTTCTCCTTTGAGAATTTAAGAAAACTGTGGTATTAAACCATATTTGCTTTTACCATCAGCAGCAACTGGTGTGAGCACAAACACCAGACACAGAAAGCTTCCGGACAGTGTAAGGGCAGTCAGCTGTCACGTGTTCAGGAACACGTGTTATGTTGAAATTCACGCGATTCACTGGTGAAACGTAAAGACTTCAGATGCCTGTGAGCTACAATATTCTCAGTAATCATAATAATCACACCCAATATGATGATTCGCTCAGCATAAAAATGACCTTGGAATCATTGGCATTGTACTTAAACAGGCCTCCTCCATTCTGCAACACTATGCTGAGGCTCGCTGACACATCTGCCTGAAAAGGCTCAGTCAGCTCATTTAGCTTCCTCATTTTAACACAGCAGTCAGATCTAATTTAGCTGAAGATGTTGGCAAAGCAACAAGTCTTGAGTGCTGCAGGATGGTGGATAATCATGGAGAGGTTGGTCTCTGATGTGACAGTGATTTGACATATTTGGTGTCTTAAAATATAAGATTTACAAACCTTTAAATATCAGGGTTGATTAAGGGACAGAGTCATCTGAGTTGCTTTAATTGGTCTAATTTGAATTCTTTTTTTTCCCTGTATTTTGAATTTCAGTTCTGAAGTATATAATAAATAAGTTCCTTTATGTTTCCCCATGAAGAAGACTTGAGTTTGTCAGCATGTAAATTCCAAATGAGCTTGTGTGTGGACAAAATTTAAAAAAGCGTGAAGGTGGAGTAAAGAAGCAGTCTGCACTGGAATAGCCACACACATGCACTTAAAAGTTTCATGTGTCTGATGTGTATTTTCACAGGCATGTAGAGACAGTTCCGGCCACTCCTCCCAGCCCCTCTGGGCCCTCCGGTTTCAGCCGGAAGACTAAGCTGCACAAGTTGAGGCCTCGTGGAGGCCACACAGGCACTTCCCCCACATTCCTGCTTCTATTTTCCAGGCTTAACCCCCTTCCCCCAACGCAAACACAGCGGCGGGTGAATCCCTGTTGTACTTGTTTCATGCTGTGACTTTTATACTGAGTTTTAAAAACATAACAAACTCACAAACTGCTTTCTATAGAGCCAAACAAGCATAAGCCTTTTAAACCTTTAAATGCAGATTAAAAAATAATCATCTGGAAATTTAATTTTAATCAGAAAAACAGGTCTAATTATTTGATTTGTTTAAATAATTGCGAATTGCTGCAACACTCAAATAGTAGTAGAGCCAAGAGCTTTATGCACGTTTATAGGTTTAGAGCGTATGGAATGCATACGAGTGTGAACAAAAAAACAGCAGT